CTTGGAGACGACATTGAACTACCTCCTGGAAAGACTGTGGAGCGTGGCATGCCTCCCTGTACGAAACGATGTGCCCTGGGCTTCGATGAAGTGAGATTGTGGTTGTTGATGGTTGTTTCGAGGGATGGTTGGTGTAGGAACGATGGTCATCCAGCTGGGGTCGGAGGAACCTGTTGTGTCTATGCATGCTGGTGGGAAGATCGTCTGGGCTAGAGGGAATGAGATACATACTGCTAACCTTAGGCAGGTGGATGACCACGTCCTTGGTACTAGGCAGGACTATGTCAGCTTGTGTGGTATGGCTCTTCCTAGATACGTTGGGTGATGGGGAGATGGTGCCTCTGTCAGTGAAGGACATGGGATCGACTGAGATATTCCCACAGACCATATCTCATCATCCTAATGGGAGGTTGTTCGCTGTATGCGGTGATGATGAATGGATAGTCTTCACTGCACAGGCAGGGTTCAGTTGGAGTACTCTTCTCGTTTTCGAAGGTTTTATGTTCAGGCTCTGCGAAACAAGGCATTTGGTAGCGGGTGCGAGTTTGTGTGGTCGGCCAGTGGAGCGGCATCGGGCACGTATTATGCCACGAGGGAAGCTTCTGGTAGGATTACCATCTATAAGGATTTCGTGGAGGAGACGTCTTTCAAGCCACCATTCCCTGTTGATGAGATTTTTGGAGGTAATGTGGAGGTCCCGGGTTCGATCCCGGCGGATGTTGTTTTTACGATAGGTTATTTGCTGTGTGTGAAGACATCTGACTTTATCTGCTTCTACGAGTGGAGTAGCAGTAGACTGATCAGAAGGATCGACGTTGTCCCTACTGCAGTCATCTGGAGTGACTCTGGTGACTTTGTGGTTTTGGCCACTGAGGATGATGGTGCTTTCGTAACGACAAACATGCATAGTATATCGGGTGGGTGTAACGTCAGGGGGCTTAGGTACTACACTATGATAAGGACTCAGTGGTAGCGGCGATAGCAGGAGGAGCGAATATTGATGAGGAGGGTCTGGAAATAGCCTTTGAGCCCACTTATGAGGTTAGGGATAGCCACCAAGTGCTACTGATAGTGACTTGTGTATTTATGGTAGTTGCCAAATGAGAAGGTCATGTCTGGTACGTGGTGTGGCAATGACTCCTTCGTCTATATCTCATCGAACCAGAAGTTGTGCTGCCTTGTGGCAGGTCAGACTGAGGTCATTGCTCACACTGATAGGTTGGTACAGTCGTTGGAGATAAGCACACAGTGTAGTGACTGTCAGGCCCCTGTATGTGTTGGGGTATATGCCGGAGCATGGGAAGGTGTATTGTATGGACAGGGACTACAACGTCATTTCGTTCGGGTAGGTGGTGTCATACCACTCCTTCGTTGAATCGTCGGCCTTCAGGTTGAGCCTGGCGTTGATCCAATATGAAAGTGACGTAGTAAGGCAAGACTTTGGTGCTGCCGAGCAGTGTTTCGCAGGTGGGTCTGCTCATGCTCTCGTTTTCTCGCAGCTGGGATGTGTTCCTTTCAGCCATCCCGAAGGCTCTACACAACAAGGTGGCTCGTTTCCTCGAGGGCCAGGGGCATGTCAGAGAGGCCCTTGAGATCACTACCGATAAGGATCATAAGTGAGCGCTGACTGGTGTTGTGTCTAGGATATAAGATGAGGAGTATGTTGTTAGGTTGGACCTGGCCTTGAATCTTGGTGACTTACAGATGGCTGGAGAGATTGTGGGAGAGTTGACGGCTCAGTTGCCACCAGGCGCTGATAGAACAGTCAATTACTCTAAGTGGAAGCAAGTTGGTGATCAGGCTCTAAAGCAGGTAATAATGCTTACCCGGAGGCGATTATTATTATCCTTACCACTCCTTTTTGAAATCACGCGAACTTCATAGCTAACTATAGTGCCTCCATATGAGGCCCATCAGAGTATAGTGCCCATCACTAGCTGTCTCGTCAGGGTGATATCGAGTTGGCGACTACTTGTTATTCACAAGGCTGTGACGTCACCGGCCTCATGCTCATTGCCCAAGCTACTGGGGATCGGTCTTTACTGGAGAAGGTAGCTTCTATGGCTAAGGAGAAAGGTGGGTTATATTAGCGGAGCGAAGCGATACTGGATGAGCATTTTCTGTCTCAGAGATGTGGAATGTGGCGTTTTCTGCGTTTTTGCTCCTGGGTGATGCCGAGAGATGTGTGGATACGCTCGTAGATTCCAACAGGCTGCCGGAGGCTGTCTTCTTCGCTCGAACGTAGCACCGAACTTTATTGGTTTCGGGAGTATTGTGGCGTTTGTTAGATATTGCCCATCCAAGTTGGTGAGTAAGGATAGCGAGCTGTTCGAGAGCTGGCGGAAGGATCTTACGAGCGTGAATGCACAGGTGGGTATAAATAGTGTAGTGGTAGGTTAGGAAGCTAGAGATGTAGAGGTCGTCAGTTCGATCCCTGGTTGAGGTATGTATTCATCTGCCGTTCTGTTTAGTTGGCATCCAGCCTTGCTGATCCCCGTGATGAAAGTTATCAGGATAAGCTTTTCGCTGAGATGAGCAACACACTGGCGGCTGAGAGAAAAAGGTAGTGCATGGTAGCCCATGGTTAGGGTGTACTATGGTGATTGTGTTAGGGAGGGGTCCAAGGCAGCTGTCACCGCTGTCCCGGCGGATCGTTATACAGAGGAAAAGAATTTGCTGGATGTCGATGTAACGGTGGAGATGTCACAGAATGAACAAGGCCTGTATGCTAAGATGGGCTGGTAGGTATCCCATTGACCTATTTTGTATCTTGTATGGGTCGACCTCAAAATTCTCCTCTTGTCTCAGGACTGGCTCTGTTGCGCCGTCGGGCCTGCTGCCTGAGACGGATAGCTCTCCTTCGGAGCGAGAGGTTGTTCATGCTCCAGTGGTCGACACACATGTTCATGAGGTAAGTGTATCTTCATGATCGGAAGGTCCCTGGTTCAATCCCTGCAACTTGCATTTTTCAGTCCTCCCCGCCTGCGGCTGCCACTGCGGACTCTGAGAGTGTGTCTTCGCCAGGGACGGTAGGGGGCGTCTTTTCGAGCAACTTATCACAAATCTCTTTGTCAGGACGGCGTGCTGGTCGAGTCGGGTAATCATCAGTACCAAGAATCATCGGTAGGCTATCCACCTATTCGCAACAACCTTGACTGTGGTCTGATCATTAGGATACTGCCTCGGCCACTGGTCCGGATCTGTTGTAGAGGTCGGGTGCCTTGGTCGCTACAAGGTCAACAGCATCGACAGTGGTGTGTCCTCAATCCCCTAGCGTTTCAATCGGGTATTTGAAAGTACTGTTGAGTTCATATCTAGTCGGTGAGTTGCCACGAAAAGATGCAGAGGTGTTATGGGACGATGTCCCAGAAGCGTCACTCGCCATGAAAACCTTCGGCCCGTCTTGTGTGTTGTGACCATTGCTCCATTTGTGTAGTACGCTAAGCTGTGTAGCTAGCACGCTAGAGTGTTGCAAGATCACTACTCATAAGTGAGTGTGGAATTGTCCGTAAGCATTTACGGTTCTATTGTATCTACTGTGCACTGGAAGTGTACTCTAAGATTCAAGGTCTGGTTTGCGTTATCTACAAGCTGGGCTCTAACTTCAACTTCTTGCACTTGCATTCATACCTTGACATCTAATTGGTAGCAACTCCTTGTTGAAGATGGGCATTTCTGAAGAGCTGCTCGATGCTGCTGGTGTTAGAGCCGAAGGACTTGGACTGGATCGAAGATTGTGGAGACTTCTGCTCTTGTTTATTATGCGGCACGAACGGTGGCGCAGTAGCAGACAGCGACGAATGGCGAGGTACAAAGGCGGGGGCGTTAGCAGACAACGGAGTAGTGGGATGACGAGACTTGTCACTAAACTGGTTAGGGCGCTCGCCTGACAGCCCGCGAGCGCCGCAAATTGTATTATATCCTTTTGGGAGGGATAATGGTTTATTCCTCTATGCTGATCTTCTCTTTGGTCATCGTCGAGTTGGTCCATTACGTTGCCTGGTAGATACTGGCTGTTGTTCTACTATGGTGGCAAGACGTGTAGTTCCTCGGGAAGTCGAGATTCGGCCCGTTACTGGACCCTCTCTTATGACGATTGATCGTTCTATTTGTACTTTTCTGGGTATGTCATCATTTTCCGTAGAGGCTTATGGTGGTGACAAAGCTAAGGAAGGAATGGCTCCGGACCGTAATGATCCCAAGTTTTCCTTCTGTGTGGATGCTTTGGTAGTGGACTCTTTGGCCTATGATCTGATATTGGGGCATGATTTTATGTCTCACTATGATTTGGATATTCAATATTCGGCCCGTCCTATCCGAATTGTTGGTACTTATTCTAAGGAGGAACCTTCGGCTCTCCCTTGGTTTGTGGAACACCCAGTTCAAGCGGCTAATTTGGAGGATAAGGCGAAGTCGTATTGTAAATCGCAACCGCCGTCATGTGTGGTAACTTTGACGGACAATGATTCTTATGATCTGTCTTGTCCCGAATATTTGTTGGCTGGTGCTGGTACGAAGGTTAATGTTGTCCCCTTGACTGACGATGAACTGCGGGAGAAAGGATGGCCTGTGCCCGGATCTCATCCAGTCCCAACTCCATCTTCGTCGTCAATTCCTCCAAGGTCTGAGCTGTTGGCGGCTGGAGTGTGGCCGCCTCCTGGTTATGAGGATACCGATGAGCTTCAAGACGATCCACTATCGGATCCGTTGAGGTTTGCGGTTCCTGATTTCCGTGATACTTCGGTACAGCTTCCTGATTTTTGTGGCTCACCATCGAAGGAGCAACGGCCCGTCGCTGAGTTATGTGAAGAGTTTTCGGATTTGTTTGCTGTTCGGCCCGGGTTTCTAAGGCTCCTCTGTGTGAACGAGTTCGGCCCTTACCCCATCGATGGAGAGAAGAGGTGTCGGCTATGCTTCAGGAAATGGAGTCTTTAGGGGTCATACGTCGGAGCACCTCTCCTTGGCGCTTTCCGTGCGTCTTTGTCCCGAAAAAGAACGGCAAGGTTCGTATGTGCATCGACTATCGAGGTTTGAATCGGTTATGTGAGACGGAGGCTTATCCGGTTCCTCGGCCAGATGATGTTCAAGAACATTTGGGCAATGCTAAGTTCTTCACTACCTTGGACCTTCGTAGTGGCTATTGGCAAGTACCGGTTCGGCCCGAAGATCAGGTGAAGACGGCTTTTTGCCCGGGCCCAGGCTTCCCGTTATACGAATGGCTTCGTATGCCCTTCGGGTTAGCTTCGGCCCCAGCAACGTTTCAACGACTTATGGATTCCTTGGTCGGAGATCTTCCCTTCGTGAAGTGCTATTTGGACGACCTATTGATCTTTAGCTCCTCTTATGACGAGCATTTGTCCCATTTACGGCAAATTTTTGGGATATTAAGATCTGCTGGTTTAACTATTGCGGCAGAAAAGTGCACAATAATGGCCCGGTCAGTCGATTATCTTGGACATACTTTCGGCCCGGATGGTATGACTCCTGACGTTAAGAAGGTGGAAACTATCCTTCGTTGGCCTGTGCCAACCCTGGTGTCGGAGCTAAGATCGTTTCTCGGTTTAGCAAATTATTATAGGGGGTTCCTTCCACATTTTTCGGATCGAGCTAGAGCCTTATATGATTTGGTTACTGAGAGTACGAAGATCAAGTCGTCGGCCTTGCTACCATGGACAGAAGAATGTGAGGTCGCCTTCGTTGACATTAAGGAAGGTTTGGCCCGTTTGCCGTTGTTGAACTACCCGGATTTCCTTCGGCCCTTCCAATTGGTGACCGATGCTAGTGATGCAGCTATCGGAGGTGTATTGGAACAAGATGGAGCCCCCCTCTCCTTTTTCAGTCAAGCCTTGACAAGTACTCAACGTCGATGGCCTGTATATGAACGTGAAGCTTTTGCTATCTTCCGTTCCTTGGAGAGATTTAGGAATATTCTATTGGGTTACCCCTTGGAGCTTATTGTCTTCACGGACCACAAACCTCTAACGTTCTTGGAGACATCGACGACACCTAAAGTACAGCGTTGGATGTTGAGCCTCTGTCAGTATTCTTTTTCTATCCAATATCGGCCTGGTAAGGATAACGTGGTCGCTGACGCTTTATCACGACCACCTTCGGCCCGTTGTGAACAAGTACAAGAGGGAGAGGCTTCGCCACACCCTGCGGCTATGTTGTCGCCTCTTTGTTTGGGATGTGGCTTGGTGGACGACTTGTCTTTGGATATTTTGAGATCTGAACAAATGGCTGACTGTGATTTGGGACCATTGAGGAGAAGGTTGCTTGGACAAAGTTATGAACATGACCAACGCCTTTCTAGATATATTTCTAGGCTTAGAAGATTTTCTATGGTGCAGGGAGTATTGATGTATAGATTGGACGTTGGGCCTTCAATGCAACCAAAGTTGGTCCCGGTCTTACCCTCCTCTTTGAAGGATCGTGTGTTGCATGAGGTTCATCAGAATCAGGGTCACCAGATGTATCGGTCCTGCTTATTGCGGTTACGATCGTCTTATTATTGGTTGGATATGGAAGACGATGTGAGACTTCATATTTATTGTTGTCCGGTCTGTTCTCCTGAGGATGACCCTCATGTGTTCCGTCCTGCTATGATGGCCACTCCTGCTGTATTTGCACTGGATGAATCCCCAAGCCGTGTTGCTGAACAAATGTCGGTATCGGAGCCCCAACTTCTGGTTGATCAAACCCTATTGGTTACTGGAGTTCGGCCCGTTATTCCTTCGACACTGGTAACGGCATGCGAAGAGTGGTCCACCGATGATATCAATCAGCAACAAGATGAAGATGCTGTAGTATGCCTGGTGAAGCAACGGCTTCGAGATCAGCAATCCTTTGGTCGCACAGCTATGAAGGATCCTGCCTTTCGGCCTTATCGGAAGCTTTGGTCGGTGTTATTTTTGGATGAGTCCGGTTTACTGGTGCGTATGGTAAAGTATCTCCCAGAAGATGAGAAACACTTTGTTCCGGTTATTCCAGACTCTATGAGGAGACCCTTGTTGTATAAGTTTCATGACATGGGCGGTCACTTCGGTAAGCAACATATGTGGGATCGTATGCGAAGGCTTTGTTTTTGGCCCGGTATGCACGTGGATATCACAGATTATGTGGCACAATGTTCCCGCTGTTTGACCATTAAAGCTCGGCAGCAGCCTCCGGCAGCCTTAGTGCCCTTTCCGGTAGGAGCACCATGGCATACTATTGCCGTGGACTTCTTGTTTGTTGGCCCATCAGACCAAGGCCCTACCAAATTGCTGGTTATTGTGGATCATTTCACACGTTGGGCCGATGCTTATGTTGTAAAAGGAGAAGGAGCTACTGATGCTTTGGCACCATTGCTGCAACTCTGCTCACAATTTGGCCCGCCTACGAGGTTACTGAGTGACCAAGGTCCTGCCTTTGAGAGTGAAATCTTTCATGATGTTATGAAGATTTTGGGGGTTACTAAGGTACGGTCTTCTCCGCATCATCCGAGCTCAAATGGTCATGTGGAACGTTTCAATTCTACCATTTTGAACTTGCTCAGAACGGTTACTCAGACCATAGGGGATTGGCAAGGCCACCTACGAGGCGTCCTATGGCAATATAATTCGACTCCTCATTCGGCCACTGGATTTACCCCCTTCTATCTTATGTTTGGAAGAGAAGCTCCTCAAATGTTATTGCCAAGTCTATATCAATACTCATCTTTGATGCATGATCCCCAGAGCTATGCAGCCTATTTGGCCCGGGCACGTGCCAAAATTGATGATGTTATGGATGAATGGGCTACTGCTAATGGTGCTTCATACCGTCTGGCAGCCTTAAGACAACCTTCTCATCGACGACATTACGTTGGTCAACGGGTTCGCCTGAAGATTTTTCATGGCAACAATGCTCCGGCCCGTAAGTTGCTTCCTAAATGGCAGGCAGACTGGTACATCTTCAAGTTTGTTGCTGGATCTAATAACAAGACGGTGGTAGTTCGACATTTCCCAGATCTACAGGAGAAGGTCATTTCTACCGACTATATATTGGCAGATCCAGTTCAACCAGAAATGATACCGGTTCAGCTCAACATTGTGAGAATGGAACCTCCTGTTGATGAAGCTCCAAGGGTTCCCTTGTATCCTTTCAAGGAAATCCCTAGAACGGATCCGGTATTGCAAGAAGACCATTTGGATCATTTTGCAGATTCCGATGAAGTTTCGTCATATGTCGCCGAGATGGGTTCTCCTTCTCATGATAGGCCATATCAGCCTCAACCTTCGGCATATTGGGTTGCTCAAGATGATACTGATGTGCTACAACCACTACCACAGGTTGGAGAAGTTCGTAGCCCTCGAGATGGTGACATGCTAATCGAAGAGGCTTCTGGTCCGGCGATTCCTAGTCTTCCTTCTGAAAACCCAAGTCTATTGCCGAGTGAAGGGTTATCTTCGTCGCGAAGATCTCATCCGGTGCTTCAGTCTGGTCGGTCTGCTGGTTCCAGCCCTGATGATAATGGTTCTATTGCGGATGCTTCGGCCCGATCTGTCGGATCACGACCGTCCTCTTCGGCCCGTAGTCAAATGCTTTCTGCCATATCAGCTGGTTCAAGTGGTTCTAATATTCCCCATGTGTCCTCGGGAATCACGGATCAGCAAGACCGCTCACCGCAAGTTCTAGAGCCGGCGGTTTTGCCTGAGTCTGTTCCCCCAGGTTCGCCGCCGCCCCGTACTACTCGTACTGGTCGTGTGATCCGTCCCCCTCAGAAGTTCTCCCCTTCTTGGAGACCTTCGAGAGGTAGCACTAAGTAATTAGTAGTGCTAAATCCTCCTTCACACCCTGCAGTAGGATTCTGCGGGGAGGGGAAGTGATGGATTTTATTGTCTTACTCTACTAAGGTACCTCTAAGTTTTGGTATTGAAGTTCTGCTTGATGGTATTCAAGATTTGTAACTTCTTAATTGTATTCGAGCTCGTTGACATATTTGATTGTATTTAAGACCGGTATTGTAATTGACGTCAAGTTGTGGATTGTATTGTCCTAGCAGGGCCGTGCTATCAGGCCCTTGTCTCTTGGGTGTGCGTACACCCACTTTGGTGCACTTGGAATATTGTAGTGGATGATTTTCACTGAACGTTCTTTGTAATTGGTGAGTACTCAGTGTTAGCCTCCCATACCTGCCTACGGATGGCATGGTTGAGGCATGTTTCGAAGTTTTCGATAACCGTTTTAAGTCGAATCTTCGTGTTTGTGCGTACATGGCGCACGCACAGTTGACCGTTTTTGCTAAAATGTTTGGCAAGAATGAGGTATATTATTGGTGCTTTTCATAAGTTTGTCATTTAATCTGCTCTTTCGAGATAGATGTTTTATCTCTCGGTTGCAGGCTGTTATCTAAATGCCTGGTGTACTAGCCAGACTTCAGGAACTCCTCAATGTTCAGCCCGAAAGGCGTGGAGACAACCTACGGTGCTTCTTCGACACCTTTAACCAACAAGACCCACCTACCCCGGTTTCGGCCCGTAACTACGACCACGCCCGGTTACTGATATCAATGGTGTGGTACGTAAGCTTCATGACCGTAATGGGCAATTGTTTAATGTCGCTCCGAACAGCGATGCTAGACATTCCCCAAGTGGTTTCGGCCGTTCTGGATGGTTTTCTAAACCGATGATGACGTGGATAGGACTGAAGACTCTGCT